TATCCAAAGAATTTACATTTTTGAGTTATCGAAATTTATCGAGCCCTCGAATTTCACAGTTATCGAAATTGGTCGAGTTAACGAATTTTGTTGAGTTATCGGATTTTAGTGTTTTCGAAATTCTTCGAGCTATCGATATGTATCAAATCATTGAAATTTATCGATAAACTGGAATGTATCGGGTCAATTCCAAGTCCTGCCGAAGTCCTCCAAAGACGTTCTAATATAAAAAAATATTAGTTACGTTTAATTTCCAAAGCAGAAGATTTTCCCGTAAGTTAATTTCTACCGTATAAGTTTTGCTACGGGTTAAGTTAGAAAATCTCTCCAAGGCTCCCAAAATCCAGAAAAACTGTCGAATTTCGACAGTAACTGGCACTCTAGTATAGATAATTAGATAACATTCGGTAAAAATTTCCCTTGCAGTAATTTCTACATGGTAAGTGCTCCGCCAATATTTGGTTTCATAGGGATTCGGATACCTTCCTCATTGAAGTAGTAAAGAAAATTGGCTTAAGTGCCCTTTTCGGTTATGTGCACAAGTTTTTCGTGCAAAGATGGATAGGCAGCTAAACAAAATATACTGTAGTTCGTACTAAATCAATTTGTTTTTTATTTTTACCCTGAAGCAGTAAGTTTAATTCGTTAATTAAGTATGTAATATCGCACAAAAAAGCTAAATCAAAAATAAAATTTTTGTCTTTAAGTGCTAAAATAAACTTTTCGACATCTGGACTCATATTCTGTTAAACAAAAAAGTATTACTTCATTCCTTAAATTAAATGATCTTTGTAGGCATTTTCCTTTGCTAAGCCAACTTACCTTAGTATATAAAAGTAAATCCCCGTAGTCAGCGTCAAGCTCGTCAAGAAGAGATTTCAACTTCCTGTGGTTGAGAGCATTATGACCACCCTTTATTTTATTAATAATTTTTACTGCGATATCCATAGCATTAAGCAGACACAAGCCTTTCGCAAAAAGTGCCTGTTGGTGAATAATGCAATGGAATGTTGGGACATTTTTTTTTTGTTTTGTGCCTACAATACCCTTTTTAATTCCACGCATAACCCTCGCGCCATCTGTACATATTGAACTTAATTTGTTGATATCAACGTTATCAAGTCAGCGTTGCCGTTTTGCTTAATTCTAAGCAAAATTGCTTAAGTTTTTCCTGCCTGTTAAAATGTTAAACTTTTCTTCGTTTTGCAAAATATTTTTATTAAAGTTGACTACTAGGATCTCTTTCATCAAAAATTCATAGTCAAAAGAATAATAAATTTTTCAAATTTATTTTAGGAAGACTGTCATCCAGATCCCACATAAAGTTCCAGCAAATGTTGCTCTACGCAATTCCCGATCTGCGGTCGCCGCATTTTCAAACCCCCAAGTGTACTTCTGCCATGAAATCGCTTTTCATAAAAACCATTTGCCGTTCGGAGGCGACCTAGAACTTTAGGTCCCTTCATTTGCGTGACAAGATCAACACGCACATTTTGGATAACATGATGCCAAACTCGTTTTTTACATGTATTCAAAAAACTAGCGAAAGGGCAGATAACTATTATAGGAGAGTTCAAAGCCTGAAAGAATGTTTAATAGTTTTCAAATTTAGCAACTGTTAGGCCCGATTTCAGATGGCCTACTTAAGTAGAGACTGTTGATTAATTTCCACTATTCCTTTTAAGATCATACATTAAGGGCCGGTTACTCAATATCTGGTTAACACTAATCTGCGGTTAAACATCGTTATCGACGTCTTCGACTCCATGCATACAACAGGGAGTCGTTAACGTCGATAACGATGTTTAACCGGAGATTAGTGTTAACCAGACATTGAGTACCCGGCCCTTAGTCTACACTTAAATGGCCAATTCTGTTATTAAAATATGAGATATGCAACCCTGTGTTTATACCAAAGAACCAAGATTGGTTGGTAGGTTGTTTAGTAAATCCCACCAAATCCCACCTAAAACAATCGGCAGTTCAGCAGAAAATGTAAACAATCATGCAAATGCAACAACAATTTCAAGGAATAAGCAGCAGTGCTGCCAATTAATTGGCATATTTAACCAAAGTTGATCTGAAACCCAACGAAAGCTAAATGGCATTTAAACAACAATCCAAAATTAAACATGAGTGCCGTTTAAATATTCATTTGAAATTGGCCCTTAGACTATAACATCCTTACTTTTGATGACAAAACTCAGCCTTAGAGAGCCTTTACTTAAAGCTCAAACAGTCAACGACGTAATGTAGACGTAGGTTGACGCAGACACGAGTTGTGTTTTCGTATTCTCCAGCAAAAAATATCCAGTAACTTGCCAGTAACCAAATTTCGGAGAGTAAGCCAATATTTACTCCCAATGAGTGAAATATGCAACAAAGTACGAAAACGCAAAACCAGCAAGAAGTTGCTAGTTTTATGAACAGCTGATTAATTTGTTAAATTTCGATGCAATTTTCTTAGAAAACTAGTATTTTCCATCTTATTATATATTTAAATAGGTTTATTTTTTTCAATTTCAACTCTAAAAGCACCACAAACAATTATTTTGTTAATATGAATTACATTAAGCATCATGCCATCAGCTGTTTTTCTTACTACCAAATAGTTGCTTGTAAAAATTTATCCAGTAAAAATCCAGTAAAACTTGCAAGTTCAGCTGCCATTTTTACGACATCCAGTAAAAAACCTGTAAAATGAGTACTGGATTTACTGGATAGTGCGTACGCGAACAGGGCTACGATCTACCTTATGGGATTCGCGTATTAGCAAAAACTCACCACCGCATGGCGGTGACGTTGCCGTTTTTTCTCTCTCTCTCTATCAACAGTAAATTTGATATGCTGCTACGTACGCCAACCTACGTTTACGCTACGTCGTTGACTAACTGCGCTTTTACTGTCTTGCTTTCTTTTTATTTTTATAACCAATTTACCAAGCTCAGGAAGAAACAAACAGTAACTAATATTCACAGCGAAATAAGAGAACAATAAGAATATTCTCTTGTCTTGTTTTGAATTTGGAAAAACACTAAAACCCAAGGAAAATCTCGAAAAAAGAACCAAATTTTCATTGGAGTATTTAACGGACTCTATATGCATAAACATTTTTTTGTAAGGATGCTGATTTAAATTAATAAAAATCAATGTTTCTTGCTCGACGGTCGAATTTTTTCTGTTTTCTATAAATTCAAATATTTTCGTGCAAGCGACGTTAACATTCTTAATCTTATTTTCTAATTCAGCTCTGTCCAGCGCTGCTGATTCGCTTAGATTCAAGAAAAATTTAGAATTTTTTTCCTGGCTGTTTATATGTTAAATTTTTCTTCGTTTTGCATAATTTTTTCTACAATTCCTGCCAAACGAAAGCAAAAACCAAAAATGATGTTTCATCTTTAAGTATTTTGCAAAACTTTGTATGCAATGTTTCGCGTTTTTCATTTACCCTTTATTAAAAAAAAAATAATAAAAAAGTCTGCTGTTTTACAAATTTTGTGACTTAGCAAATTTTCTACTTTTTTCCTAAAATTGTTTTGTTGGAATTAGCAAATTTTCCATGAATTTTTCCAATATGTCTTCTTCTTCTTCTTTTTTGGCGCTGTAACCGCCTAAGCGATTTTGGCCGAGTTTCTCCTCTGTGCCAACTGACGCCAACTGGAAACGCCAAGTGAAGCCAAGTCCTTCTCCACCTGATCTTTCCATCGCAGTGGGGGCCTCCCTCTTCCTCTGCTACCACCAACGGGTTCCGAGTTGAATACTTTCAGAGCTGGAGCGTCGGTGTCCATTCGAACGACATGACCAAGCCAGCGGAGCCGCTGTATTTTAATTCGCTGTACTATGTCCATATCGTTGTAAAGCTCATACAGCTCATCGTTCCATCATCTGCGGTACTCGCCGTCGCCAACGCGTAAAGGCCCGTAAATCTTCCGCAAAATCTTTCTCTCAAACACTCCAAGAGCCGCCTCATCGGATGTTGTCATTGTCCATGCTTCTGCGCCATATAACAGCACGGACATGATGAGTGACTTATAGAGCGTGGTTTTCCTACGTCGAGAGAGGACTTACCTCCTGAATTGCCTACTCAGTCCAAAGTAGCACTTGTTGGCAAGAGTGATTCTGCGTTGGATTTCAATGCTGATATTATTAATGCTGGTGTTAGTGCTGGTTCCCAAGTAAACGAAATTCTCTACTTTCTCGAAATTGTAACTGTCAATAGTGACGTGAGTGCCAAGGCGCGAATGTGCTGACTGTTTGTTTGATGACAGGAGATGCTTCGTCTTGTCCTCGTTTACCACCAGACCCATTCGCTTGGGAAGCAAAGCTTTTCCAACTTGGAAAAGGCAGAACAGACTTCGCGGTTTTCGATGCCGATGATGTCGATGTCATCGGCATAAGCCAGCAATTGCACGCTCTTGTAGTAAATTGTTCCTGAGCGGTTCAGTTCTGCAGCTCTTATTATCTTCTCCATCATCAGATTAAAGAAGTCACATGAAAGGGAGTCGCTCCGTCTGAAACCCCGTTTTGTTTTGAACGGCTCAACGTCATTTTACCCAGCCGTATGAGTTTTCCAATATGTGCAATACGAAAAATCTATCTCGTAGGTACATTTTAAGAAACCATTTTGTTAGAACAAATTGGTTAGGTCCTTTTAATAATAATAATAACACAAGGGAACAGTGATTTTGTTGCATCAAATG